GTTACAGGTAAGTAATCTGATCGTTGACACACGTTAAGTTTAAGCTACTCATAAGTTGTGGTGTCTAGCTTATCCAAAACCTATGAGCAACTTATGCGTGACTTATCAAGAAGTCATCTCCAACGAACATCAAGGTATTTGACGTGTTCCAGGTGACCGCTGAACGCATTTCTAACTTACACCTATTGTTTAATGGCGTATTGGCAACGTTTCGGTATAAAAAGGGGTTCACAGGAGGAAACCGTCTGTACTCCTCCAGACTTGGTCCCCATCATAGGGCGAGCGAGAAGGTAATGGTTTCTCCCTGCGTTCACGACCACGATCAGCGGGGCAGGCTATGTTAATACGTGATCAAAGACATCTTTTTATGCGGACCGGGCGTCTGCAGGCGCATCGCTGCCCCCCTCAGGACACTGGCTTGTGCATCATTTCATGGGCATTACGCTGTCGCACGTTATGCATAAGTGAGGCTGTCGTTAGACATAAGTTCTGGACTCGTTTTAAATACTTTATCTAAAAAATTGAAAAATACATAGAAAGTTCAGCCTACGCCAGTGTTTTAGAAGATTCTGGGTCTGGCTAAATCGTCATAGTATGACAGGGGCGTAAGAAAACAAAACTTTTTAACAAGAAAAATAGGAAAGAAGATCATTACATCACAATGACTTCTGTCTTCTGACACAACAGACATCAATGGAACAATCAATAATAGATAAAAACCTACTGACAAAAATAAAAAAATATATTCAATCATTATAAACCGCATTCAGTTTGGTCAACTGATGTCAACAAAGTCGAAAAATTAATAAATAGAAAAAATATATATGTCTAAATTATTATTTTTTTTCTTATTTTATTTTATTATATTTCTTTCTCTGTCACACTTCTCTGCAAAATATCTGTGAGCTTAGGAGAGAATAAAATAATATTAGACAAAAGGAAACTAATAACGGCAATCAGGAGCTAAATGCCTAAATTAAAAGAAGAGAAAAAGAAAGCTTAGTTTTTTTATCTGTTCTGTTGTTATTTTTTACCTGTTTGTTAGCCCGTAATGTTTGATAAAAATAAAAAAAAACACTTGGTCAGGTGTAATTTCTCTGAGTGCAGCAAAGAGACTTTCTTTTTGAAAGTTAAACAAAAGGAAAAAACCTTATTAGCAGCTGAACAAAGCAGCCCAGGGTCAGGACTACCTTCTATAGGGGTCACCAACCTTTTAAAGGCTTAGAGCCTCTTCATGGCTACTGAGTCATAATAAAGGCTACCAATACTGACCTATGAAGGGAGGAATCAGGTTTCACCTTAACTCCATAGATAATAAACATTTTTAATCTTTTAATTTCTAATTTTCTTTTACACATTGACATCTTGAATTCTCCATAAATGCTGTATAAAAGATTCAAAAAGAAGAGCAGCAGAATAAAATCTAATTTCAATTTTAACCCATTGGTGAGTTGTTCTGTTTTTAGGAGATAATGTGATTAGATTGGATGAACAGTTGTTTTCTCCGTAATAAAAGGTGACATGGTGCTGGATGGCAGCAGCACGCTGACTCTCCCGGCCTGCTCGCTGCAGCAGCTCACGCGGCTCTTCGAGCAGCACCTTCTGTCCAGGAGCCAGCAGCATGGCTTCCTGGCGCTGCCCTCTCACCCGGCCGACACGTCCTCCCTGCTGCAGCTGCAGTTCCTGTTCGACGTGCTGCAGAAGACCATCTCCCTAAAGGTGGGGCTCTAAAAAAAAAAAAATCCCTTTTATTAACAAAATATGTGATTCTGATTTTATTTTTTTTCCATTTTCATTTACTTCCTGTTTCATTTTGGGTATAATTATGATTCAACGCAAAAGTTTTCCTTTGGGTAAATTCTTCAAAATCAGAAAAAAGAAGAGCTAATTTTGCTTTTTTTTTGTTACCCCTTACACCCAAATTGTATGTTTGATATTTAAATAATTTATTAGATAAATAAGTATTACATCAACTTATTTTATGTTACATTTATTTATTTTTTAATATAGATCAGGATCACATCATGATTAAGGATTAATCGCTGATCTTTTATCTTTTCTGGATTTGTTTTTTATTTATTTTTTAACCTGTTATAGTTGTAGCCATTTTAATCTTTTACTTTTTTGCAGCCTATGATCTAATCTATTGAGAACTTTGTCAGAAAAAGCACTTTAAGTGTTTGAAAACAAGCTGGAAAATCAATGGACAGGGACCACTCAGCGCCACACTGCCCCCTTGTGTTTAAAACGGGCAAAAACATACAAATAGTTTCTCCCTTTTTTTCTTTATTTCTGCAAGTTAAGTGAAAAAGAAAAGGAGAAAATGTGAAATTATTATTATTTTCTTGTGCCTCTTCTTGCTAAAGTAAATCGATGCCATTTAGAGCTGAACAAAGTCCTTTTGCTCATATTTTATTTCTCTCACTGCAGCTCATCAATCCACCAGGA